CTCTTTGAAAACTTCGCTTCGGCAATGGCTGACCCTGCAGTGAAACCACAAGAGGCCCAGGCTTGATTTGCCCGCGCCCGCCTGTGCCTTCCTTATAACGAGGGAAGGACGGAGACATTGAGACCAAAATAGCCCAGACTTGGCATATGTCACACGAAACTATCCTTGATTTTTCGCTTTTAATGCATTTCTTTCACGATTAATCGATATCCCCTGCAAGAATGATACTGTATAACTCTCAAAACAACGATGCTTTAATCAAAGAGCTTAAATTCGCTCTGAAATCCGTGAGGGAATAACAAAATTCGGCCAAAATATATCCGCGTGCCGGGTTTGCTGTGCAAAAAGCGGAAGTCGTTGAACAACTCAAAATACACTCAACCCTGATTGGACAACGAATATCAACAAACATTTCAATTTTTTTTAACAAACACAATGTGAAATACAATTTATTATACATATTAACGTAAGTACTACAGTTATATTTACATGCAGTAATATTTACACTTTATAACGTTTGTGAATAGTTTTGATTGTATGATTGAAATTATTACAGTTCTGTTAAAAAATTTGAAATGTTTGTTGATATTCGTTGTCCAATCAGGGTTGAGTGTATTTTGAGTTGTTCAACGACTTCCGCTTTTTGCACAGCAAACCCGGCACGCGGATATATTTTGGCCGAATTTTGTTATTCCCTCACGGATTTCAGAGCGAATTTAAGCTCTTTGATTAAAGCATCGTTGTTTTGAGAGTTATACGGTATCATTCTTGCAGGGGATATCGATTAATTGTGAAAGAAATGCATTAAAAGCGAAAAATCGAGGATAGTTTCGCGTGACATATGGCAAGTCTGGGCTATTTTGGTCTCAATGTCTCCGTCCTTCCCTCGTTATAAGGAAGGCACAGGCGGGCGCGGGCAAATCGAGCCTGGGCCTCCTGTGATCGGACATTTTGTCAGACGGCCCTGGAAAAGATATTTTAAGGCCTGCACGTGGTCATCACCAACGCTTGAACTGATCAGATGGGATAAGTACCCCTGCTCCCCAACTTTCACTATTTGAACCAGAATCAGTTACAGTCACTAAACTTGACCGCTCACATTTTCGCAGCAATTTTTAACGATATAGACCGTAAAGCGGTCATTGTATTTTACAAAGTTTAAAATGATGAGAAACGTGAGATTCTACCACCTACAAAACTTAATTTACAGTGCTAGCTCCGTCTTTCGGTTAATATTGCACCAACAGGGCTCAGACACATTCTCAACGTATCAAGAAATAAATGTTTTTGTGTGTAGTAGACAAACCATACGCAGTAGGTATAGGAAAAAATGGCTGATTCCAATATTTGCGCCTCAGCTGTTTTCTATGGCCAAGATTTGCGCCTAAGCTGTTTTCTATGGCGTCATATCACCACCAATGTTCGTATAGTAAAATAGGACATTCAGCACATAACGATTGAATTTGGCCAGGGGATTGTCTTGTGTTAGCTTAATTAATATTGGTGGAGATTTGACGCTATCGTTCAACTCCGCCAATATTCAACATGTGGTAAGTTTTTTCAACATATTTTGAACGTTGAAGTTGCGATGGGTGCTAAATTCGCGGCATGTTCAATGTCCCGTTTAACTTCAACGTCAGAAACACATGGGTGTTCAATGTGAGATTTAACTTTGATGTCGAAAGCACGTATAGGCATAATAGGTGTTGAATGTCCTGTTTAACTTCAATGTCGAAAATATGTTGAATGTTCTGCATGTTCATTGTCAGATTTAGCTTCAATGTCGAAAGCACGTAGGTGCTGAATGTCCTATTTTACTTCAATGTCGAAAGCATGACATACATGAATATTGGCGGTGATATGACGCCATAGTTTACCTGTGAAAATGTGCATGGAAGCTGTATATCAATTGCGCCGTACTGAATCGTTCCAGTTGCCGGTCGTCGTGATAAAAGCCGTAAGATTCGAATTATAAAGTCAATTCTCAGCTCTAATAACAAACACATGAAACTGTGAAGGCGAGTAAATTAATTTCAACAACGAACTGAAATTACTCAACTTATTTTGTTATATTTAACTTAAAAATAGTTATCCACAAATGCACTTTAGTTGAATTAACATTTCAAAACATTTTACCAACTTTTTCAGATCAAATTTTACATTAAATCAAAGCTAACAAAATGCAAAATATCCCACAATGGTCGTGAGATAATTCTGAACGGAACGAAAATCACCCTGTTATAAAGATTCGTGCTTAGTGCAAGTTATTTTCAACAGTACAACTCGATAATACAATGCAACGTTCCCACAAATTTATTATGAATATGAAAGAGTTTGACTAATGGTCGAGGGTCGATGGTCGAGGGTAATAGGTCGAGGGCGAGGGTAGAATGTCGAGGGTCGAAAAAAATGTCGAGGGTCAATTTTTTGACTGTATAATTTTTCGCAAATTTTTAGTAACAGAATCAATTACTTACCATTGCACATACATATCACAATTAATTAATTTGCTTTAGCCCAACGTCAATGTTTTATCCCTATTATGGAATTTGCCATGGCGCAGAGTAAGTATGGTTCGCTATTAAACGCAAAGTTTAGTTTGAACAAACAGATATGTTTTATACGCCGATGTATACTAAGGCCAATGAAAATTGACATCATGTTTCTCGTCCCGCCCGCATGGGTTTTATCTGCCGCACGAAAATTTTTCATTATTTATTATTTTTGAAAAATAGGCTTAATAAAACACCAAATTGATCTCCAGGTCAAAGTCTTATTGCTGCATTCCGCAAGCGCAACTCAAATTGTATCTTTCTAAAGACATTACTCGCCAGAATGCCTCTACTTTTCATGTCAGCCCTGGTATGCGTAGAAATATACTGTACAGTAGGACGTATTAAATTAAAATGAATTATACACCGATTTACTTCAGATTTTTATGGGTCAAGGAAATTATTGACAAGCAGAATTCAAACACAAAAAATAATGAAAAATGAAAAAATCCCGCTCCAAATTTTTGAAAATTGTGGACGAGAAACATGATTTCAATTTCCATTGCCTAACGAATAAACCCTATTTTGATCATTATGAAGTTAATAACTGATCAAATTTCGATCGCTACAGTCAAAAGGCGCCGCTTCACATGCCATTTGATAAACATAACATAACCCTTTGCCACCTTTGTGCACTCATGATTTCAGCAATCATTACGACCACAAAAGCGATATATAGTACTGTATAGCTATGTTTCCCGCATGATCTAGAAACCCACGACTAAACACTAATGTCGTATAAAATAATTTGTAAAGCCGTGATTTTCTAACTATCAGTATTTTCTGCATCGTGGCAAACGTTGACAGACGGCCAATTGTCTTATGTGCATGCCTACGGCAGCAGGCAAACATTTTTCGCACAGATTATTTTCCGCTCATGTTGTAATTTCTTGCGCCTATGGCTCCTATCGTCTGCGCGAATTTGATTACTGCGCGAATTTGATTATTGCGCGAATTTGAATACAAAATATTTCAACATTAATTTTTATTAATAGTGATATTTTCCTGGGTTACTGGTTATGCCTCATCGGCGCAACAAATTCGCAGCAAAATGAAAAATAACACTGACACGTCGAAGTGTCACCCCGGATGTCGGGATTTGCTTTCAGTTCTGGATCAAAACTTGCGAGAAAGAGTGTCCCTATATGTCGTGTGTCGTGGGTTAAAAGTCAGGGGGCAGAAAAATAGAAATGTCGATAAGTCAGGCAACTGTTGAACGTAAGTTGGGAAAAAAGGGAGGAAAGTAAACTGAAAAACAAGAAGTATATGTAAGATAATAGTAAAAAATGCAAGAAAATAGGGCAATGTGGCGAAACGTTTGTAGCTTTTCGAAAGTTTCCGAAGTTTAGCAGGGAATTTGATTGGTCAGGCGCAAAATGCAAAAGTCGGCCAAATTTCGTTCTGCCCCCTAATTTTTTCGCTCCCATATGCCTATGAGTATGTGTTTATAGCAGACTTTGAGCAACGTATAAAATGATGCGCCTGCACAGGAATGTTTACCGATCAACTAGTCAAGGATTCTAATTTTTTTGGTAAGCACACAGGTTTGAATGAATAGCCGAAAATATGAATAGAACGTAACAGATATTTACAGCGGCACCTTTAAATAAAAGAGAATAAAGTCGGTAATAGACCAGTAATTTTATTTTCCATTGCTTTTCAGGTGCAGCTTGTTTCTTTCTGAAACATTTTAGGGCCTATAGCTATGGGTCTACCTCAAAACGTTGTCTTCACGACACAGGTCAAATACAGTCAAGTGGCAGTTGGGGAAACTTGTCTTTTCTGGAATTTTCCGGCAACTGTCTGGATCCAGCAGCTCAGTTTCGATTTCGTGATAATGGTGCCATGTTAAATCTAAAAAGAAAGGGATGTCTCGCTGCTTATAATAAGAATGGTTCTGGTTATGATCTTGATATGTTTTTTCTTTACGTTGACTCAGTCAGTTTAGACACAGCTGCTTGTGCTCAGAAACCTAACGAGAGCATCTATCGTGCTGTAACCCAGACCCCCGAGGGAGGATTATCTGTTTATTATAAAGGGAAAGATAAGAGTTCATTTCAAACCTGGTGTGCATGGTATTCATATAATTCACAACTTTATGATTATGGAATAGAACGCTACATGGGATTGTCGAGAGGATGTCAATCCATTGATAGTTATCAGAGATTCATTTTCGGTAGGTTTTTGTTAAATCTTTTCTAAGACTTCTAATGTCTGAAGAAGTTGTTGCCTGGAGTTTTATATTAAATGAAATACAGTAATATGCTATATCTTTTCTTTTTACTCAATCTGTTCATTTGCTTCTGGTCTATGATCTAAAGTGAATATCCATAGGCTACATATACATGAGTAAACACACAACAAAGTAAGAAAGCGCAAATTAAGCATTGGAAATTGACGAAGTTTAAAGGTGATGTAAAGTCCGTAATGTAAAGAAACGCTTTGTTTACTTTTTGAACTCAGTGTTACGGTTGTATGAATGTTTAAAACTTTTCTGGTTCGCTATAGCCTATATGCTTGTAAATGAGTACAGACTAGAGATTCAATTCAAGAAGGTCGGAAATTGCGAAATATTAATAACATCCCAATGCTCGGTTCGCGACCATTGGAATTAATGTAGGCGTGCGCAGAACTTATGTGCAGAACCGACTGTCATGATTTCTTTTGTATTATCCCATCAATTATTATGAGATTTTTTTTTAATTAACTTCGCCAGAAAGTCTTAACAGTTATTACAAAGTAATAATTTAACGGATTAACTAAATTGACTGTATGGCAGGGGTATTCGCAACAGCGACTAGCCAATAACTGAGAGTAACAAATACCATGTTTATAAATTTGTGTAGCAATGTACGAGGTGTATTTTTATTTAAAATTTATATAAATTTTCATTTATCACTAACTCGTAGAAGAAAGTTATAGAGATTAAAAACGGATTAAAAACATTGTTAAAAGAGAATTTATTAGCTAAACATCTTGGTAAATCTAAATTGTGAGTATCAGATCAACGACGTAAATAGTAAAATTGCTAAAAAAAACTGGAATAATTATAATATATAGATTTGAAAATGCTTAATTAAACATCTATATTACACTCTAATTTACCAAAACATTAATTATGGGCTAATGAGTTGGGGTAACACCTATACAACAAAGCTTAATAAAGTACGAACATGTCAAAATAAATGTATAAAGAATCCAAAAAAGAAAGTGCAGTTGTAGACATTATAGATGAATTTACTTTCCATAAAAGCTAGACAATGTTTTTTCAAATTGAAAATACTGTAGCCACATTTATCTACAAAATTATAAATCAAGATAAAAATATCCCAATGATATTTACAAATACCATTTCTAGTGCATCTACTCAACACTCTTATTCTACTAGATTCGCTGAAAAGTCTTTACGTACTGTTTAATAAACGAGCAGGAGTGTTTTATTCATAGGGTTTTATTAGGTTTAAGGCCACGAGCGCGTAGCGCGAGTGGCTTTAGGCCTAATAAAACACGTCCTGCGAGTTTATTAAACGGCTTCAAACACGACTACAAATTCAATAGAAATAGGCCGTATTCTGTGGCCAATTATCGTTCAGTTCCGCTGCCCCCATTCGGGACCTACTTTTAGTTTACATAAATCTATAGTTTTTGATACGCTGAGTACGAATTCACTTGTTGTCACTCGCACAGACCCGCAGTTTTTTTGTATTGTACGATCAAACATCAACATTTTTTATTAAAATTTCCGCCATTTTGTTCAGGAAACTTCATGTTATATACAGTTGTTGTACTAGTCCAAGTCTCTTAGCAGGGGGGTTGCACGCGGTATTACGCAGTTTGTTATCATTCCTCTGAGAAAAATATACAGAAATACCAATACACCAATACATGGTGGTCAAGTTTGCAACTTACAGTGGATTGCTTGCACCAAAGACATGTGGTTTAAGTAATGATTATAGTTGCGCAGTTGATGTAACATGTCTTGTTAAGAAACAATGTGATGGTCTACATGAGTGTAATTTAACTGTGGATGACAATTTGTTCTCTGGTGATTTATGTCCTGGATTGTCAAGCTATCTTCACTTTGAATATCAATGTGTTCATCCTGTGAAACCTTTTAATGAACTTTGTGGTATGCATGGGTATAAGTATTAGTAGTGATAGACCCCACTCTGGAGACCAAAGGGATGCTGCCAGTGGCGTCACAATAGCGTCGCCAAGTTGCGTTACAATTAGGATGCGTTACATGGTTATACGTTACCTGTCACAGAACTCAGTCCCGTTACCATACGTCGTCTTAGGATGCGTTACACGGTCACGTCACAATACGTCACCAAATTAAGGTCGTGTCACCAAGTCACTTTACCGATTTACATCAATCGTAAAATGTAACTTTTTCATAATAATTTTTTTGACAAATTTGTGATAAAACTGATAGTTTGCCTCACAAATGTATGAAATAGAAGTAACTTTTTAAAATCTACAGTTAGCTCAGTTGATAGAGCAAAGGACTGTAGTTATTACCAAAATCAGTATTCCTTGGGACACCTGTTCGACCCCGGTGCGGTAAAACATTTTTGCCTGCCAGCCACATAAGACGTTATCCCACTCCGTCCGTGTTCGTCAGGAGTTAGTTTGAAGCGGACGTCAGCTAATCTACGCAATTCTAACATATTTTGTCTAAATTTGTAATTGTTATGAAAGTTTCGTCACCTATAACCTGAAGATGGAGGCAAACTATCAGTTTTATCACAAATTTGTCGGAAACCAATTATGAATAATTTACATTTTGTGATTGATGTAAATCGTGACTTGGTGACACGACCTTTGGTGACTTATGGTAAAGAAGACTGAGTTCTGTGACAGGTAACGTAACCATGTAACGCATCCTAATGGCAACTCAACTTGGTAACGCGACGCTACAGTGACGCCATTCCATGGCGGCATCCCTTTGGCCTCCAGAATGGGGTCTATTACTACTAGTATTGTTCTATTCATGGTTGTAGTTTCAATAAACTTTTCTTAAGAACCCATAGTGTTCTAAAATGTCCAACCACGATTTTGCACATACTTGTTATGTGCATGTTACCCACATATAAAAATATCCATTTTAAAGCCTTATATGGCAAAATAACCAATAACTTTGTTCTTTTCATGTGTTTTGTAGTTCATGACGTGTCTCTATCATATTCGTCTGTACCTTACGAAGGTGTTATACAAATTACCACTGATAATGGGACTAAGAATGTTTGTTGGCAAAGTTTACAACAAGATGGCAGGGCCATGCATATTGTTTGTAGTCAGCTGGGATACGATGCCGCACATTCTCTTGTAAATATATCCACTCCAACGGATGCCAAAAATGAAACCTTTTCTGGAAGTATAAACTGTAATAGTGAAAGCACTTACTTATCCCAGTGTTCAATTAATACTTCGGCCAGCGAAAGTTGCCCTGAGTTATCGTACATACAATGTAAGTTTGTTAAGATGAAACGAATAGAATGCAGCGGTAAAATAATTTAGGAAAGAACATAAAAGAAATTGAAAAGCAAATAATTAGAGGAACAATGAAAGAACAACCTCAATCTCATCGTTCATCAAAAACAAATGACCTAACTTTTTATTTCCATATTTAGGTGATCCCTGGGTGGATACTCCATCATATTATTATAAACCACTGTTACAAGACAGGCGAAGATTCCCTGATTCATCATTTAGTGCGTCTGCTTCTTCCGGAGGTCACAGTGATTTTGATGCAAGGATATCTAGTGGTAATTCTTGGTGTGCAGACAACTGAACAAAATGGCGTCATTATCAATTATACAGCGTGTGTTTCACATTCAGAAAATGGTCCGTACTTTCAGACATTCACTACAAGTGAAAGGAAGTGGCTCGTCGGAAATTTGAATACATCAACAAAATATTTTGTTCGTGTTCTTGCAAGTACTAAAGTTGGTCATGGAACCTACAGTGAAAGTGAAGGATTTTTTACGAATGGAAGTAAGTACAAACACATGTCGTATGCCGTATATATCGCTATTTTCCGGTTTGTGCATGATCCTAAGAAAATGTCTGTTCTGAACTTTATATTTACAATTTGGTTAAGTACTATTTAAAACACGAGTAGGAGTGTTTTATCAGATATAAACGCGAGGCGCAGCCGAGCGTTTTATGTCTGATAAAACACGACAACGAATGTTTTGAACAGCTTAAAATACGACTACAAAAGAACACTAATTAGGATGAACTATTATATGTAATCATACTATTAATGAGGATGAACAATTATATAATGCCACATGCTTTATCAAATATATAGTCACTCCACGTGACATATTATGACTGACATTATTTGTGAATTATTAATGAGTATTTTAAGTACTGTTTAATAAACGAGCAGGAGTGTTTTATTAGGTTTAACCTAATAAAACACGACCTGCGAGTTTATTAAACGGCTTCAAATACGACTACAAATTCAATAGATATACTGCCTTATTATTCCTCTTTATATAAAGAATACTATTGAGGACACGACTACAATCGATACTGCCTTATTATTATTCTTTATCTAAAGAATACTAATGAGGACACGACTACAATAGATGCTGCCTTATTAGTATTCTTTATATAAAGAATACTAGTTAGGAGTGTTTTATCAGGTTTAAAGCCACTGCGCGTGACATATTATGGTTGACATCATTTGCCAATAAGCTTATGAATTATTGAGTGTTTGAAGTCATTTTATGTCGTTTTAGAGTTGTTTGCATTTAGGACATAAAAAAAGATAAGGTAGACAACGTCACTGCCGCCAAATCTGAATAAAGATCTATATTTACGTTTTGACATATCAAAACGTAAATATATGATAATAGTTCACTTTTCTCTACAGGACCGGCTGAGAAGGCCATAGCTAAAACATCAAGTACACTCACATTTTCATTGAAAATTCCATCAAAAACGTTTGTGTAAGTATGTTAATATTTGACTCTCTGATGGTGTTGCAGATAAATAGTTGGTATAATATATCATTTGGTTCACATGAAGAAGGCAAATTTCGGTTTATAGATATTTCTACGTGGTGGCTTTGAAATTAAAGGACGGCAAAGAACCTGCATCATCTGACAGTTATGAGAACAATGAGTTAGTGACGTACGGCGAGGCAGAAAACTCAACCAATCCGAAACCTTATATTGCTGCAGTAGTTGCATCCAGCGTTGTTGATGGAAACATGTTTGTACTTGGTGATGGCAGAAATACAAGTAATTCAACTTCACGAAAACGAAGGTCACCTACAAGTGATTATTTTAATGGACCGTTGGAGCCTGGCACTAGTTATAGTGTTTTTCAAAGAATTATTATCAATGAAATGGTATGGTATTGGGGTGGGGGCAGCAAACGTTTTGGGCATTGCCCAATAAGTCCAGGAAAACGAAAGGCGGAAAGGGCAAATTGAAGCTTGTTATATAATTGGGCAAATCTCAGATAAACCCGAATGAGTTATACCCGAATGTAAAACCAAGAAGGTCTCTTTTATGACCTTTGGCTACAATTCAAGTTTTCAATCCTAGTTTATCAACAGTCCTGACTGTTTTACACTTATTTGTGGCGAAAAATTGAGGAATTGTACGTTTTATATCGAAAATGATAAAAATTTTGAGGTGCGTTTTGAGGACGTTTTGAAGAAAATGCCGCCCGTCAACATCGAAAAAAGCACTTTAAAACATTTCTACCATTCCAAAACTTGATTTGTAATTAAAGTCCTGGTATTCTTGTTGATTTTGAGCTTTTAGTCTTTGCTTTGAACGATGACGATAAAACTGGAAAATATCGATGTTTTCATAATTGTATTATTCTCGTAATTTTCCGCTGATCCTGAACAACGCGGCTTTACATCCGGGAATGAGAATTTACATACGGACAACGAGATGTATAGCAATATTTAATAATTATTCGTCGAAGGCGAGGTGATTATCGGGGAATATTCGCCGAGACGAAGTCGAGGTGAATATTCCCCGATAATCACCGAGCCTGAGGCGAATAATTGTTTTAGCACTTTTACACAAGCCTTTTGTGTTTTTGGGACTGAATATATATTTTAATTTCGCTTATTTCCACAAAACGGCTAGCCGCCATTTTGAAAATTTCGGTTTTATATTCACCTATAGGTGAATATAACGGCTTAATACGTCAAATTTGACCAATCAACGTGTAGGATTTGTTATGTTCACTTGTGCAAAAATACTAATAGTCTGTGTTATTTCCCCCTTATAAGAAGCTTCAATTTCAACGCGAATTTCAACTTTCAATTTGTTCGCGTCAGTTGTAAATTGCTCAGAGCAATCTGCCTTTCATAATTGCAATATTGTAGGACAATATTGCAATGTTTCTCGCGATAGAACATCCGATTTCACTGTAACAGAGAAATAAATTATCGCCTTTAATATAGGGTGAATATTACTCCACAGCCTGGAGTCCTCCTTCAAAAACGAGTGAAAATACAGGTATATTTCTTCCATGTAATTTGATAATTATTAGATTAAATAAGTAAGTTTAAGTCGTGATAAATTTACAGTGACAGTATTTTGTCACAGTTATTATTAAATAGACCTACATGCCGGTAATATTGCTTACCCAACTTTATTGGTTAATATCAGACATATCAGTTTTTTACAATATGTGATTTCAGAGATTGAACTAAACTTTGTCTTTGATGATGTCAACACAATATAAACCAACTTCTTTTACACAATGTAAAATACCATATAACACGGACCAATTTATGTCAAAATTTACAACTTTAAGAATCAATGAGAATAATATAAGAAGATATAACCAGATTTTTGGAAAAAAAAAGAAATCTTCTTATATAATATAAAATATATAATAAAAACTAATATAAGAAAATTTGCCGACCCTGTACTAGGTTCGTCTAGTTAAAGCGCAGATTAACAAGCGAAAACCACTTGTGAATTATTTAATACATGATGATCTTCTTAATCGTTTCAAATTTCAGATCAAGTTCCAGGTGACGTTTCAGACACGGACGACACTGATGGTTTTGAAAAGTATCTTGTTGCAATTATAATAGCATCAACAATATTGCTGGTCATTTTATGTGTTATTGCATATTGTATTTATCAATCTCGTCGACTCAAATCAAACACCGACGACGTCCACCATTTGCCTAGTTCACAACATGATGATATCGGCAATTATGAGCAAGTACACAATGAAGAGTCGATGTATATTGCTCTCAAAAGCCCTGGGGAAGTTAATGATGATCATTGCTATGGTCATTTAAATCCGGATGTACAAAATGTGCACGTAGATCAGGAGGAAACTGGAATTTAATTTCGTATCAATGCAATTTAGAAAAAAAGGGGATTTTTCGAGCAACTTTTCATGATAATATGAGCAGCTTTTTTGGAAATTTTAATCAGCTTGTGGACAGACCTATATATACCAAGAATTGTTGAAGTGTTACTTAGATTATGCTTTTCCCTCCGCAGACGTTTCAAACTTTCCGTAATTTCCGTGTTTTTCCGCCCATAAACACCGGTACCTTACGGAATTTACGGAAAGTTGAAAATCTCCGGAGGAGAGAGACTTGATGTGTGTAAACTTTTAAAAACACAACTATATTACTTAGGGGCTGTTTGTGGCGAACCTTTTCAGTTGCAGATTAATTGTTGGGAATAAGGATTGGTAATAAGCACTAATTGATTGAAGCCGAGTTGAAACAATATGTTTGGTGGACTCGAGCTAGACTGCCAATCATTGGCAGTCCAGAAAACAGACTATTTGCCAAAAGTCGCAGTCAATAAGTATTTCATTATATATTAACTATACCAAGTCTCAAAGAAAACAGCAAACAGAAAGAAACGCGAAACATCCATAATTTTTGCCCTTGCATAATTTTGACGGTATTATCATTCACCCGCGGTGAATAATAGCACTCAGAGCTGTTGCCAGGAGACAGATAAAAGAAAACACCAACTTTGACATTTACTATATAATAATAGGGATTGGGAATAAGGATCGGAATGATGGTTTTGGGAATAAGGTGTGGGGAATGATTTGGAGAATTTTATATGATCAGCTGTAAGAGTGATAGTGTACGGGATGAAACCCGTTAGGTATACTTGTGGGCGTATTAAGATGGCTACGAATGAGTTTAAATATGCTATGCCAGGAATATATCATTCCCTCAGTCTCGTCTATCTTTATAGAAAGCCCTGGAAACGAGATTGGACCTGTGAGCTGTATATGTACTGGAATAAGAACTTCACTCATTCGGCCTACGAGAAAAGGGAAGAAAATATGGCGGATTTTGACATCCAAAATCTATGAAGTTCTTATAACTCTTTTGCAGCAGGGTCCATTACGCGCAGAACGTGCACGTTCTACGGATGTAATTCGTTCATATCTTTGGTTCAGTGCACGCTATGTAGATGAAAATACTACCATTCGATTCAGCATAAAAATATACACTAATTTATAACGATAGTTTTAGTCAGTGGCTAAATTGTAGCGATTTATGAGCTTTGAAAGTCAAGCGAGCTTGGTATTTGATCAAATTACACAATATTACTAACAAATTATAAACATAGACATACCTTTCGCCGAACATAACTTCGGCCCCTTGAGACGCAAGCTCATTCTGGTAGTCTTGCTGAATGAACACCTTTGTTCCACCACTACCATGAGGAGACTGTTTGTCTTATAAACAAGTTTCACACTATCTTTCCGTGAGTTCTAACTTTTTCTAGCGGATCATATCCCTAATCATGTCATATCAGTTGATAAAAACATTATGAATCTTTAAATCGAAGACAAAAGACTGAATTTCGGCACACTAGCTCCTTCCAGCTTCGTGTCAACCGCGCTGACGAAAACAAGAGAAAGGACTGGCACTGGACGTCAATTTCCGCCATCTTGGTTTCACTTTTTTACTCGACGAGTTCTTGCTCCAGAATCCAGATATATGTGGATTGTTAAATCGAGTAAGAATTTGCGTGTTCACGTTTTGTCAAATATTTTGAAATGTTTAACAATTTACTCGTATAGTGTTCCAAAGGTCTAGCTCATGCTGGAATTTCAAGTCGCAAGAATAGTGGTAATCGGCAAATTGGCTCAGTAATTTTTATTGGAGCGATCAAACTGATGGGAGAAAACAACGCATGCAGATTGTCTTATATATTTGCAACCTGTATATAGCATGACTTGATGAAATTCAAGACTGGTGATCCCAGTTGTTTTCAGAAGATGAACGCTGTGATCGAAATACATGACGACTTGGGCGTAAACCCGGTGCGAGAGCACTAGTTCCCCGGCTAATTATACCTGGGTATGTGAAAACATAGCGAAGTTCAAAGTCGCCCTCCATTTTGTTTATGTTATGGACAGTTTTCGAGGTTATGCGCATGCGTGAGTTCAAGCTCTGGCTAAAATAAATAATTGTTTTTCATTTTGAAAGCAGGCATTTTGCTGTTTTACAGCAATTTTTTAAGTTCTTTGTATGTTTGCATGGCGATAAAACATATAATAGTTTTTTTTGTGGAAACACCACGTAAATTTATTACTGCAAAGCTTTCGATCCGTAAGCCCGGATCTTCATCAGTGCTAATAATATGTAATGATATTAAATATAATAATATTAAAGCTTTGCAGTAATAAATTTAATGTGGTGTTTCCACAAACAAAGCAATTTTATGTTTTAAATTTGGAAAAAAGTTTTACAAAAGTACAAACCTTTTTTTAAACATGCAGTTTCAGGAATTGATGGTTGTTCAACCGTGAAACAAAGTTTTTAATATAAATTGTTTTGATGTTGATGGCAGATGGAGTGATGCTTTTAATAATTTAATCGCTGTGCCTGTTTAAGTAAATGTAAACATTTCATTAGTGAAATTCCATTCCGTACTTGCTTTGCGTTGTCCATTTTATTCAATTCTGCGAAATTTTTAAGCCACTGTTAACTCGATAATTCACAATAAATAATTAACAATTATTTGCCGAAGGGGATGTGATTACCCGTGAATATTCACCGAAACGAAGCCGAGGTTAATATTCACTGTAAGCACTGAGCTTCAGCCTGAGGCGAATAATTGTTTTAGTTTAAATTTTTAATGAATAAAACAAAATATCCAAATATCAGTTTAATTAAAATTCAGAAATAAAACTGTTTTCGGCTGGTTCAACGGTTACTGTTTTGGTGTTGCATTGTTTCTTGTACAAAAAATGGCTTCCTGTGTGACTTATATTAATTATTGCTTTATTACAAAGTTGTTTTTCTCGATTTCTACTTAGAACTAACACAATGATGGAATGACTTTTTCACCAGACTTAGGGGCCGATTACATGGAGCATTTTCAACTCCGTGGTTGAACTCAGCCCTGTTTACCGGGTAATACAAAACTCTTTCAAAATCAAGCGCGCGGTTACATGACAAAATTTTCAACCCAGGGCTGAGTTCAACCCCGGGGTTGAAATTTCAACCCTGCTTGAACTCAGCCCTGAGTTGAAAATTTGGTCATGTAATCGTTTCAACCCAGGGCAGAAATTATCATGAGATATTCGAGCATACGTGGTAGTGACTATTTATTACAAAAAAAAAAAATAAAGGCCTTTTTACTTCGATGCCGAGAACTTATAGTATAGCGTTTCAACCCCGGGGTTGAAATCGTCCAGGTAGTCGCAAAAAAATTCAACCCGGTTAACAGGGCTGAGTTCAACCCCGGGGTTGAAAGTTCTCCATGTAATTTGTGACTTGTTTAATTCAGACGCCCTATTTTCACATATTATTAGAACTGATGAAGATCCCGGCTTACGGATCGAAAGCTTTGCAGTAATAAATTTACGTGGTGTTTCCACATACAAAACTATTATATGTTTTATCGCCATGCAAACATACAAAGAACTTATTAGGTATAGAGTGTATACATTCAGCATTTAAAAGACTTGATCGGCTTACCAATCAACGTTCAAGATTGGTTAACAACCTCGCCTTTCTCAAAAGGTGTCGAGACAACAAGGTTGTTCCAAAAGGATTACGCATCTCAACGAAATATACTAAGTATGCGCGAAAGATCATGATGAAAGCCGAGTTGGCACTAGTAAGAGAACGAATTACTTGGACTCGTAGACAGTTATGCAGAGTGGATGAACGTATTTCATCTTTGAATGAAGAACTGTGGATGACTTTAAATGAAGAACACTATGCGGCAGCTAAAAGAATGATCTCTGCGTCTTCTACGAAAACTTTCAACAAAGCACGTTCCACTCAGATTGCCAAATTCACAAAATTGACGTCCTTTGGTCGGACGCATCGCAGACAAAGAAGATTTGGCCAGTCATCCATTACAACGCACCGCTATCAATATGAGTGCTAGAAGACTTACGCCGGTTAAAGAAGATGTCTTGGCTCTTGGATTAAATTTCGCTGTGGTACCCCGTGTTCTTCCTAAAGAAGAATTTGTACAACGTTTGGAACCGAAGTTATACCATGCACATGACGAACGATGCAGCGAGTAACATCCGTGTCCAAATCACTGAGGTTCTACGACGTGCAACGCTACCAGCTTCGAATTTAACCAAGAATAAGGATGCATTGAGAAACTTAAGAGCAGATAAGTCAATACATATTTTAAAGGCTGATAATGGTAACGCTACGGTTATTTTAGATCGTCTAGAATATGATAATAAAATCTTGGCTTTTTTAAACACTTCAACTTATAAAGAGCTTAAAAGAGACCCTACAGCTAACATTGAACGTAAAATATGTTCCAAACTATCTGGTTTTAAAAAGGCAGGTATTTTGTCTCAAACACTTCATAACTGTTTGAGACCTTCAGCTACTGTTTGTCCAAAATTTTATGGTTTACCTAAGATACATAAACCTAATGTCCCACTAAGACCTATTGTAGCGTCCATATGTTCGCCAACGTATGCCCTGGCTAAATATCTCGCTGAGATATTGAAACCAATTGTTGGAGTAGCAGAACATCATGTAGTAAATTCTAAAGAATTTGTAACAAAAATGGAACAAATTAGATTGGGTAAGAATGACATTCCGGTAAGTTTTGACGTAATTAGCTTGTTCACTAATGTTCCAGTTGAAGAGGCTTGTAATATCGCGAAAGAAAGACTTCCTTCAGATATTACATTATCTCAAAGAACTAATCTTTCTCCTGAGAATGTTCATGATTTGTTGAAACTCGACATGTTTTCAACGGCGGGAGAAATTCTATGAACAAACAAACGGCGCTCCAATGGGAAGTCCATTGTCGTCTGTTATGGCTAATTTGTTCATGGAGGAATTTGAAAAGAAGGCTTAGCTACTGTACTGCAACGTTCAAACCTGGTTTCTGGTTCAGATACGTGGATGATACATTGAGTAGCTTGTCTCATGGACTAGATAATTTACAAAAGTTTCTAGACCACATTAATAGTTTGCATCCATCGATCAAATTTACTTTTGAAGTACAGAAGGGTGATAAAACTTACCATTCTTAGATGTTCTGTTTACTATACATGATGATGGGTCACCAGGACATAATTGGTTTATAGGAAACCAACACACAGAGACAGGTATCCGCATTATAATTCATTTCATCCTAGTATTAAAAACTCTGTGTGTAAGACACTCATCAACCGAGCGAAAAGAATTTGTGGAAGAGCATTGGGCTAATATTCCAAAGGTCGTAGGTTCGAATCCCACCGTGGCCGGGCATATTTTTCAAGCTCGCCCGGTGTGGATATACACTCAGAGTAACACCACAAATATCATATTCACCTGAGTACACTACACCAACACAGAAAAAATTCATATTCCTAGAATACATTGGTATCGAAGGAACTAGATTCTGTTCCGAAATATCACTTACTCGAACCGTCCTGATCGCGTAGCTCAGTTGGAAGAGCATTGGGCTAGTATTCCAAAGGTCGTAGGTTCGAATCCCACCGTGGCCGGGCATATTTTTCAAGCTCGCCCGGTGTGGATATACACTCAGAGTAACACCACAAATATCATATTCACCTGAGTACACTACACCAACACAGAAAAAATTCATATTAATAGAATACATTGGTATCGAAGGAACTAGATTCTGTTCCGAAATATCACTTACTCGAACCGTCCTGACCGCGTAGCTCAGTTGGAAGAGCATTGGGCTAGTATTCCAAAGGCCGTAGGTTCGAATCCCACCGTGGCCGGGCATATTTTTCAAGCTCGCCCGGTGTGGATATACACTCAGAGTAACACCACAAATATCATTTAAGAAATGTTCTAAAAATGAATGGTTACCCACGGCATTTCATAGATAATGCTATGAAAACACCACAAAGTATACAGCAGAAGATTGAATATCAGTCGTCTGTTTGTCTACCATACATTGTTCCGGCTTCACACAAAATCGAAAGAATTTTGAGGAATGAAGCAGGTATAAAGGTATACCATTCCGGCGAAAACAAATTGTTTCGAGCTCTTTGTACATAAAGACAGCGTAAATGAATATCAGAAACCTGGTGTGTCCCGCTTTCCTTGTGAATGTGGTCTGGTGTACATTTGTGAAACTGGTCGAAATCTCCCAGTACGTCTTAAGGAACACAAGACGAATTGCGAGAAAGCTGAGCAAGATAAATCTGCTGTGGCTAAACATACTTGGACTTACGACCATCGTATAAAATGGAACGAAGCAACCATTTTGGCGATTGATAGTCATAAGTTCACTCGCAAAATGAGAGAGTCAATTGAAATCGAGAAGCACAATACAATAGATCAGGAGGGAAAGTCACTAGATAGTACGTGGCGTGCTCTCTTTAATGTGCAAAATTAATTTCTCTTGTCTTGGATGCGCGCGCGTTAATTGGAACACGTCACTACGTTTGAAATGACGTGGTTGATGTGCCATTTAATTAAATTTTCAAATGAAGCGGGCCAACAGATCACGACACTTTTGTATATAAAAAGGGCGTCTGAATTAAACAAGTCGCATATTAGCACTGATGAAGATCCGGGCTTACGGAACGAAAGCTTTGCAGTAATAAATTTACGTGGTGTTTCCAGAAACAAAATAAATATATGTTTTATCGCCATGCAAACATACAAAGAACTTATTGCAGCGAATGTTATCGTTAATAAGCTAGGCATCAGTTGAATGTGTTTTTATGTTTGTTTATAATGGTCTTAATACTTTATGTGGAATTTTTATATTTCATCTGTTAAGAAAGGCGAAAGATTGCTGCATGCGTGTATTTTCTAGCTATCTATTGTATTTAGTGTGGGTTAGTCATGCATTGTAAATTTGTCTTGAAGCAAGCGAAACCATTCTGAAAATATAATTATTGAATTTTGTACAGAGAGATGTGACTTAAGAATCGTTATAATGTTTGAATTTTTACCCGCTACGAGAATTGTATATTTTTTCTTTTTTTTGCCAGTGCGCCGTGTGTCTTGTAATAAATTTCCACGCATATTTCATAACTCGATTTTCCACGAGAGATACTTGTAAATGTCTCATCCAGGAAGGATGAAAATCGTCTATGTACAAAGTAACAATCTATGAAGATACTCGTTTTGCCAACTGTTTAATTGTCATGTGGTCTCTGTTTTTCTTGCGGCAAAGTTTCCTAAATGTCAACAGCTTTTTGTCTATTATTCCGTATACAAGAGGATTTGCTGAATGCGAACCAGCAATCCGCAGAATAGACCCAAAATGGAGCGTCCAAACATATTTAATTAGTAGATGATGTTCGCCGGCGATGAACCATATATTCCACACAGATATTGGCAAATTTCCTACTGCGAAGCAAAGAACGGTGCTGAGACAAACAAGAAATGTTCGTCGATTACGAAAATGTCTCCCTCTTATTGCGTTGGAACATACACGCTTCATGTGTTTGTTTTGTATGACGAGTGCTCGACCGATTCTGTAATAAACTACAGTCATGAATATTATTGGAACCAAAATGTAAACGATTATTGCGTATGCATAAAGAATCCTCATCACAGCTCTGTCATTCTGCTGCATAAAACATAACGGCAGATCTGTTCCATAGCCAGCAATAAAACCAACAATGTACACCAAACCACAAACGACTTTCAATTTCCGTCGATTGATGGCAGGTTTTAAGGGATGTACGGTAGCACGATAACGAAGCACTGAAATGACTAACATCATACCTATTCCTGTGCATTGAAAGAAGTGATATACTTTATGGCCAAAAAGACAAAACAGGATGGAATGAGTATCAAGTTGTCCTTCAATCCAATGAATGTAATGAGCGTCAATATGATTCAAAAGGTAAATGACCAGTCCTCCCAGATCATTGATTGCAAGTTGTGAAACGAGAAAGTAGTAGTTATTCTTCAACAAACTTCTTTGTCTGAATATAGAGATTAAAACCAAAATGTTACCGAGAATCCCGAATACACTAACTGAAATGAAAGAATGGCATCATATGCTGTCTTCTCCATTGTTTCGTTCAAGAAATTTGAGTTGTGACTTTCGTTGCTGAAATGCAATTCAAAATCAACTGGTAGCTTGTTTATGCTTTTCCCTTTGAAACACAGAGCAATTTGCAAATCAATTAGTTTTTTCTGCGTCATATGGACATTAACAGATATATTCCACCAATAAGAACCTAAACATAACGACATTGTTTCCATGGTTTATAACGCCACTAGAACAACATACGTCGAATATTAATATCTTGTAAATTCAAGACGTGAGCTTTTGTTGAGTTTACAAGATGTGAATATTTCGCAGTATGTTTCACTTTTTATACATATTTGTGAAATTGTTTCATGCAGGTAAAAGATAATATATACCACTTAACGATTGGCAAAGAAAAGAAGTGTTTCAAATCCTTTAGCACTCGTGAAGACAAAGGAAAAAATTGTCAACCCATATTATTGAATTTGTTGGACATGAATAATTTGTAACACACACTGGAAATTACCAGATGGATCCATATTCAAAAATCAAGATTACACGGCATAGATATAATATTTAATTGGGACGTTCATGCGGTATATTCTCTAATTTTATCTAATTTTGAGATGCCTTTGTGCATGTTCATGCTGAAATAATCAAGAAACTTAAATTTATAAACTTTAAGCAAAACATTTAATTTTCTCTCTAATTTTCCGAGTATTGTATATTAGTGCGGTGTACGTCCATCGTAGAACATTATATTAATGATTACTAATTATAAATCATTAATGGTTTAACAAAAAAATAAATAATAAATAACCCGTCAAATATCCATCCATCGTCAGTTTAAATAATTTGAATTGATTAAAGTATCATGCGTGATCATCATTATTGGCTGGAAATAACCGCGGAGCGATTTTTGGTCGATACATCTTTCATTGCTGCCGAGAGCAGCGAGGCAGCACACTATTCTTGACACGCGGTTTCTCCAGAGTCCACTCGACCCAGTCTTTCGCGCGATCTATGTATTGTCGAGATCTCGATCTTGTGTCTGTCTGTATGTATGTAAAGATGTCGTAATCCGGGTGGAATAATTAAGCTTCAGGAACGTTTGTTAAATTAGGGGAGCGGTCACAAACACAATTTTGTATTGCACACGCATTTCTATGTGCTCAAGAGTCAAGATTTTTCAAGCTTTAATCCGGTAAGTATGGCTCTATTTCTTTCTTCTAAAATACAATTAAGGCGATGACCTTTTTAGTGTTCAATCTAGAGGCAAACAATGTGTGATGGCACTGATCGATTGGTCAAAAACAACATTGAATATAAATATCTTATTAATACAAGGAGACCGACTGTACTTGCAAGTTGTGGATAATGTATGGCTTTGTTGTCTTAGAACCTAGTGTCGAATTCTTATCTGTAGGTATAACTTTACCTAAAGTTGTCAGTGTTTCAACATGTTTTCTTATAATCCGAGATTTTGTGAACGACACACGTGCCAGCTGTAGTGCATGCGAATACAACTACAACACCTGCTGTGGATCCCTTTGCTGCACAAAATAACATTCGACTACCCATTGTGATAGAGCCCATTGAGGCACAACATAACATTGAACTACCCATTGTGATAGAGCCTGTTGAGGCAAAAAGTATCACTGATCTGACCACTGTGGCAAAAAGTAACACTGATCTGTTGGATTAGAGCTAACCTGAGACCAAGCTCTATTTTACAAATATAGCCTGACACAAACCTTAACCGATTGCTTTCAACCAACGTAACAGCAAAGTTTATATTTAGTATCCAATCAAAATGTCGCAACCGAAATACGGTTGTAAGGCATGGACTTTTGTTTATTTATTTATAGGCCTGATCACAGGTTAGGGTAGAGCAATTCCAGCTTTTAATTTATGCATGCAGGGGATGATGGGAAGTAAGGTATATTGCTGATTATGCTGACAAATTTCAATATTTACAAGTATGAGCTATCACTCCGTGTTTGCACGGCCATCATTTTTATTTTTTCAGCATAATCAGCAATATGATACCTTGCTTCCCATCCTCCCCTGCGCGCATAAATTAAAAGCTGGAATTGCCTATTCTGTGATGCCTAATATTTCATGCTACCAATTATTGTTTTCTACAGTTTTGCAATTCTGAAGGATGTGAATTGTGCCATGTTA